GAGCTGCGCCTGACCCGCCAGCTGCTGCCGGAGCTCTGCGCGCTGGCGCTGCGCGCGCTGCTCTACCTGGCGCCCGTCTACCTGGCCGGCTACCTGGGGCTCAGCGTGCTCTGGCTGCTGCTCGGCCTGCTGCTGTGGACGTGGTGGCGCCGGAACCGCCGCGGGAAGCTCGCGCGCCTGGAGGCCGCCTTTGAGTTCCTGAGCAACGAGCGCCAGTTCATCAGCCGCGAGCTGCGGGGCCAGCACCTGCCGGCCTGGGTGAGCGGAGCCGCCGTGCAGGGGGCGGTGCCGGTGCGGGTTCGGGGGCTGCGCTGCGCGGGAGGCCGGGCGGCCAGATCCGGGGAGCGGAGCCCCGCGACCGCACCCCGCCTCCCACCGAGCCTGGCGCGCGGACTCCGGCGGGGACGTCCCCTCGTCTGGGCGGGGGGAATGGAGAACCTGGGTTTCACTATGCCCCAGAGCCCGTGTGAAGTCATAGGCGGGCCACACCCAGAGCGAGACGGGGCGCCCGGGACTCTGCGGAGTTACTTGTGAGGGAGGTGGAGGGCACTTCTTCCACTGCCTGTTGATCGGGAGAACGAGCGCAGGGTACAGATGTAAACGCATAAACACTGAGAGGCCGAAACGGCTGAGCGCGGGCGGGGCGGGGCGGGACAGAGCTGGTGGCGGCGGAGGATGCCCGGGCGCGCACCTCGCGCTCTAACCGCAAACCGGCTCTCGGTGCGCAAGGGCCCCCACCACGGTTTCTCCAACGCGCCTGGTCCTGAGCATCATTTAAAAGCAAGGTCCGGGGAGTTGGGCCGGAGGCACCCTGGGTGATTCTGACAATCAGGAGAGTTTGGCGAAGGCTGGCAAGAGGAGGGTTTCAGGGACTGGCGTGTGGCCAACCTGCCCCACTGTGCCGGGGCGTCACCTCCTCAGGTCCTTCCCAGTGCGGTCCTGCCCGCCCACAGGGGAAGATCCCAGAGTCCTCAGGCTCCCGGGTCCTCTTGCTGTGCGTGGCCTGTGCCCTAAGATACGCCTGCGCACGGATGCATCACCCGCCCGTGATAATAGCCTCCAAAGTGGGGTGTGAGAAGAAAACATTACAAAGGTGTACTATAGCTAACATGAAAGACAGAAAAAAAGCTTTTCTGAATGTGGTTTGGTAGGGCTGTCATGACAAAGTACTATAGCCTGGCCAGTTTAAACAACAGAAATTTGTTACTCCTCCATTCTGGAGGCAAGAAATCCAAAATCAAGGTGTCTGCAGGTTGCATTCTTCTGAGGCCTCTCTGCCTCTGCTCTCTGTGTCTTCTCATGATTCTCCCTCTATGTATCTGTCCAGATTGCTTGTCTTGTAAGTACAACAGTCAGACTGGATTAAGGCCCATTCGAATCACCTTATTCTAACTCAGTTACATCTTCAAAGGCTGTCTCCAAATATAGCCATTTACTGAAGTACTGGAGGTCAGAACGCATGAATTTGAGGATACACTACTCAGCCCATGACACTTACTGAGATTTAATGTATGGCTTGACAATAGAGCTTTTTTCTTTTAAAGAGAATAAAAATTTTTTCAAAAGATACAGAATTTCAAAAGAAGATGATAGGAAATTAGCAATGGTTGTTATAATGTATACTGTTATCTTCAAAGTAGTTGTGCAGATATAGACATGCAAAATTGATCAAACAATTAGGCATGAACTGTTCCCTTCAATAAACCTGTAGAAATTAGTAGTACAGTTATCTTAGCTATCTTGTGTGTGTGTGTGTGTGTGTGTGTGTGTGTATATATATATTTCCCCTTCCTACTTTCTTTCTTTTCTCCTTTCCCCCATCCCAGTTGTTCTTTCCTTTTGAGCAGAGAATGGCTATCATCAAGAAATTAACCAATAACAAATGCTGGCAGGGCTGTGAGGAAAAAGGAACCCTTCTCCAGTGTTGGTGGGCGTGTAGACTGGTACAACCACTGTGGAAATCAGTGTGGAGATTCCTCAAAAAACAGGGATTAGAGGTCCCGTTGGACCCAGCTATTCCCCTTCTGGGTATTTTCCCAGAAGAAATGAAAACATCATACCACAGGAATATATGTGCACCCATGTTTATAGTAGCACAGTTTGTAATAGTAAATCTTGGAGACAACCCAAATGTCCATCAGCAGAGGAATGGATTAAAAAGATGTGGTATTTTTATACAGTGGAGTATGACTTAGCTATAAGGATTAACTTGAGGCTTTTATAGGTTAATGGATTCAACTAGAGACCATACTCATAAGTGAAAGAAATCCGACCCACATGTGTAAACGTCGCATGTCTCCCTAGTGTAAGAAACTGAACGAGTAAATAAAATCTGAAAGGTGCAATAGATATTGTGAAAGGGACAATAGAGTTTTGTAAATAGCATTATTTATGTTGGGTATGAGGGGGCCACAGAGTCAGGGATCAGGGTACATGATGAAGAACTGTCACGATCACTTTCCTGGGGCAGCAGCCACAGGGGCAGCACCCCCGCCCAACAGTCCAACTTCAGCGCAAAAGGAACTTCATCAGAAGGGATCTCGTTCATCCTGGCTGTTCTGTGCACTCAGTCATTCTGAAAGGTGTGGACCCAGGGAGCGGACCTGACTTGTCCATAGCCCCTGCTCAATGTCGAGGGAGCCCAGGTCAGCTGTCAGACCTATGTTGTGACCTGTTGTGGCTTCAGTCAGTGAGGGTGGGGCCATGTTTTTCTCCCCTTCCTGTATCATAGAGGCCTCCGGGCATCTTGCTGTTGAAGAGGCAATGTTTCTAGAATTGGATCAGGAATCCTATAGGGGCAGCGGCACTCACATGTACACGCAGAGACAGGTCTGGCTTCTGTTGGGGCAAGGGACCCCAGGAGCAACACAGATATAGCCAGCAGGGAGCTCAGCCTAAACACAAGAAGACACTCCTTAGGTGCTTTACCCCGTAGCCCATTCCCCAGGTCTGACCTTGCTGGGTGTGGGGAGAACAGGGAGGTGATAGTGTCTCCCTACCAAGAGGCCAGTCTCAGGTGAGAGACAGGTGCATAACTGGTAACAGCCAGTGAGGTCTGAGCGAAGTCAGAGACAGGAGCCTGAATAGGGTCCTCGGATCTGGGTGTGTGTGTGTGTGTGTGTGTGTGTGTGTGTGAAAGACCTGGTAAAGGAGGCCCTACCTGATTCCTGTATCACATTGTCCATAGATCCCTGCCTCTTGTCAGGGTCTTTGGAAGGACCTAGCCTTAGTTTGGGTTTTCCAGAATCCCCTGGCAGGCTGGGCAGGCCAGTCAGGAGGCCCAGGGTGAGGATCACTTTGGATTGAGGCACTGGTGCTGCACAAGGCATTCCAGGCAAAGGGAGGCTGTGAGCACAGTGTGTTGGCATGGGCTGGCCACTCCGAGGGAGTGCTGTGTCCTCGGCCTGGCGGACTTGTGTGCTAGGGTGGATGGGCAAGGCCAAGCTAAGGCAGATGAGATAGAAGCTGGGCTAATTCTAAGCCTGTGAAAGGTTTTTGAAGACCGCAGAAAGCACCATCTAGCCAGGTGTAGTGGCGCATGCCTGTAATTCCAGCACTCAGGAGGCTGAGGCAGGAGGATCATTGCAAGTTCGAGACCAGCCTGGACTACAAAGTGAGCTCAAGGCCAGCCTGAACTGCCGAGCGAGACCCTGTCTCAACAAAGAAAAGAAAAAAAAGAAAAAAAAAAGAGAAAAAGAAAGCCGCATGTAAGGGGAGGGGTGAGTGAGGAGATGTCAGTGGGGAAATGATTCCGGTGGACATGGTAGTCGTGGGGACCGGCAGGGAATGAGGGATGTGTGGGCATGGGACTCTACGTGCTTGGTAGCCTCTAGAGTGGGCTGAGGGAAGGATCCAGGGGCTCCAGGGTGCTTTCTGGTGCGGGGTCACGGGTGTCCATTACTGTGGCTGGCACCCCCAAATGTGAAGCGTGTCTGGGGAGGGCGGGTATCGGTGTGCTGCCGGGAAGAGCACACAGCTAGACATAGGGGTGGGCTTCCTGACCTGCCTTGGGCAGGTTTCCGAGCCCAGGAGGATGGGGCAGAGCCGGAGCCTGCGTGGTGAAATCCTCCCCACTTCCTCCTTGGGAACACACACTGTTCATGAAGCAGAGAGAGACGAGGCTCGTGCCCAAGATCTTGGAGCGCAAATGAAGGATTATCTTTATCATTACATGCTGATGTTTTAAGTGTGTGCCGTCCCACTTTTGAGAACTGACCTCCTTGCATGGAAGAGGGGACGATGGCTTATGACCTGCTGTGATAGCAAGGAGGTATTTTTAAAAGCTACCAGATGGCAAATGAAGTGCGGCTCCCGTGCGGCTCCGAGCCCTGCACTGCCTCGTGCAGGTGTGCCAGCCGTCTCCGGGAGGATGGATGCCCAGCCCCGCTGCAGCTCGTCAAGCCATGTGCTGCTTGAAAGGGGCCCCCTTTCCCAGCGTACACCCAGTTCCCACGATGGGGTGGAGGCTGAGGTGCAGTGAGGGTGCCGTGGCCCACGGCAGTGCTCAGTCATGCCCTCCTTTTTTGCCGGGTCTTAGATTTCTCTCAACACTGCTGCAAGCAGCTGCCTCCAGGGGGTCCTAGTGATGGCTCTGCCTTCCCAGGCCTGTTTTTCTCCCTCCACCAGGAGATGGGGCTGGTTGGTCTCTCAGAGCTGTGTCAGCCATGCTCTCCGTTCTCCAGTCAAACCTCAGACTGTCCTGCGCCTTTCCCAGGCTCCCTTCCGGGAGAGAGAGAACTCACAAAGCGGCCATGAGCAAAGGTCCTGTGGGTGCCTTTGTCCTGTCAGCGTAGCCTGGTCACGTGGAAAAGAGCCAGAGCGACACTGCCCCTCACACTCTGCAAAGAGCGGCTGCCTGTTTACATAAGTGCGCCCCGCCCCCGCACCATTTTTAGAAATATTTCTGAAGGACTCAAGAGCCAGCTCAGCCAGCTGTCCCCGTCAGGGGTAGGACCTGCGCCGCTCAGTAACAAGCTGCACCTTGATGGTACCCTGAGCTGTGGGCCGCGGTGAGCCACAAATGCTCTCGGTTTCCACGTGAAGTTGTCGTGCGTTGAATGTTTGAAGAACCACTTGTTTGGAGCCACCTGGTGGGGGCTGTCAGTTTCTGCTCCTCAGTTTTCCGGACTCCCAATGCCACCTTTCCCCATGGGACACAAATGGCCAAGTGTCTCAGCAGCAGAGGCATCTGACTGACCCTAGAGGGCCGAGGGAGGCGCTCGTAGGAGGGGCTCGCAGGGGCCTGCTCTGTGCTTCTG